AGTAGTTACATGCCATACAACAGACAGTACTATTATATTTATATAGATACCCAACTGACACAGTAGCTAAACTGTCATAACTTTGATATTTAGGTGACAACAACCTATGCAACTTATGTTTAGAGGTAATAAGTTTAACCTGCAACATAATCTAAGTTTCTTGGTTGACTTACTTCTAATTTCTTTAACTAGAAGACAGTTTTTTACATTATGCTGTAAGATAAACATATTTTCACATTATTTTGTAAGTTAAGATAATTTTATATTATAATGTAAGCTAAGCGTTTAGGAACACTTATCAATGATATTCTAATGTATGTGAGCAAAAAATGAAACTTTAATTACAATATTCAAACTACCTGGTGGTTACTATCAGAAGTAGGATGTTTTTCTAAAGTAATATTACTGCTACAGGTACTTTACTTAAACACTTCAGAAGCATTTTCAATTAGTTTAAAGCCTCTTGGAAAATGAATAAATGTAGAACAAACCCGTTCCCCCAAGCCATTAACCTGTATTCTTTATATGAGAACAAATCTCCTTTTAGTTTCGTGAACAAAAAATCCAAAGAATTCTTAGCAGAATTTGTATACATAGGTGTCATATCTGATACCTTTATCTCATTTTTGGTCGTAAAATAAATTGACGAATGGAAAGAGTTTAAATGGCAAAAAGTATCAAGTTATTCAGTCGAGGATTTGATTAATAAATTGTAGACAAAATTGTAGACCAAGTACAGAATTTAAGAAGAACCACCAAACAGATTTTTACAGATTTAATATGGGTATTCCTCAAAGATGGAATATTGGAAGATAGGTTATCAAACTGAGACTTTATCATTTTAGTCACATTAAAGTGTTGAACATCGGTTAGCTTGTGAGACACATTAAAATCTATTCCTACTCTTTTGCTGTTGTATGTGTGTTATCTAAAAGGATCAATAACATCCATTCTGTTGCAACTGGTATGGTGTTTCATCTTTGCATCTATCATCTGGTACGATTTGGGTACAAACTGCTTTCCGTCCAGATGGTTCTGTTAAGTATCCATCTTTAGGAAGGACGACTATATCAAATACTTTGTTTCGTGTTTCAAGTGGTATAACAATCAACTGGTGCGAGTTGGTCACATAATGCCTTTGGCATGATTGTTGCCCGTTTATCTGCTTGTAGAGCCTTGTCTGCCCGAGGATGTACCAGGATTGGAACGTGGAGGAGGAGTGTAGCTTGAATCGCTTACGTCATTTTCGTTGGCAGCTAGAGGGTAATTATCGGACACTTTGCATTTAGAATAAAAGTACAGTTAATTGCATTTGGTAAATATGCCAGGAATTTTCTTCTCTCTCCGAACGTATATTATTAGTTCGCTACTACTTAGTTCCGATAAGCTCATTTTCCTTTCAGGTCCGCGCTTCACATATAATATGACAACTCTGTATTCCCTCAGCATACCTTAATGATGTCTAGCTAACATTGTTTAAGTGTGAGTTTTGTAAACCATTCAGTAATCAATGTGGCAAACATTATTGTTTTCATATATATTAAAATCTCTCAATTTCTTTGGAATATGTAATTTATAATATGTAACCATCTATTGGCTCTACTAAACAAGTTACGATTTCATTGGCTAATGCGATGAATTTTCGTAAGGATAGTGTAGATCTGATTAGTGGTTATTTTCTGGATTTTTTACATTTTCATCACAAAATGAATAATTTAAACACACCTAAATATGACAAAAGACGGATTATGAAATTTTAGCATGAAAGATAGTTTTTATAACATTAAAGAAGCCAACATTTGCAGGTGAATGCAACATATCTCCGCCACACAATCCCAGCATAGCAAATTTTGACACCATAAAAATCATGAAAAATACACTGCTTGGGTCCTGCAAAGAGTATATTTGTACAAAATTTCATGTACAAATAGGTCAAAACAAGGCTATAAAACCCCTACAATCATGGGTTTGTTTAACCTTTCAAAACCCTAAAATAACCCAAAAATGGGAATATCCCACATTTTTTTATGTATATGCATGGGACCTGTAAAAATAATATATTTGTACCAAATTACACATAAATTGACCTAAATATGGTGACGTAATTGTTTGTCTGTCAATGTGTGGGACCTGTAGAAAGGTATCTTTGTACCAAATCACATGTAAATTGCTTAAAATATGGCCGAGTAATTGATCAAAAATCCTAAAACTATACTCGTTGTTAACTCTGATCCACCTAAGAAGATTCAAAATAGACAAATCCAGCTTTTTTGTAAGTCAATGTGTTGGTCGCTTGAAAATTTGTATTTATGCCAATTTTCACCTTGATTGCTATAAATATAACCGCACAGGAGCCCAAAATATACAGTTTTGGGTTGTTTTACCTTTGCCTTAATAAAATCCTTAAAAAAGGCCTAAATAAAAATGTATTAAAAACTAAGTATAGGAATATTGGACCAAGGTATAACTCTACCAAGTTTCAAGTCAATCTGCCAAGAAATGAAATAATGGCGGCCGATTGAAAAGTTTTTGGAAGAAGAAGAAGAAACAAAAAATAAACAGTATCTTTTTGTGGGGACATAAAAAATAGACCGCAACATCTTTAAACAATATATTTTTATATTTATATTATCTCTAAATGACAAACAGCGTATTGAAAGCTGGAGTTGTTAAAATACTACTCTCAAGTTAAAGAAATTGATGCAAAATATATGTGGAAAATTAGGAAGCGGCAATTGATAAGCTTGTTTCTGCAAATACACCCTATAATAATTGTATTACAGGTAAAATCAGTTGATAAGTTTATTTCTGTAAATACACCCTATAATAATTGTATTACAGGTAAAATCAGTTGATAAGTTTATTTCTGTAAATACACCCTATGATAATTCTGTTACAGGGGAAATCAGTTGATAAGTTTATTTCTGTAAATACACCTTATGATAATTCTGTTACAGGGGAAATCAA